TAGACGTATATGTCACATGGTCCCTATGCTAACAAAATTGGAGCTAGCGTAATGCTTCCCGTCTCCTTCCTGTCAGATCATCTGACTGCATGATCTGATTGAACGGCCTTAAAACGACATGTAACGTGAAATTTTGCTCCATAAATAAACTAAATTGAATTGCTTAGTGGCAAAGTTATTCAATCAGATTATTTCCAGATTAAATTAACCTTAAAAAAAAAAAAATATATATATATATATTTATCTGAATGGGTCTAAAACATTTTTATCATAAATTACATAAGTTACTAAATTACGCAAAAAGAGATAATTTTGGTAATCCTAAACCTGTGTGTCTGTGAGAAAGAAAAAGCAATCTTAATAGAGAAGGCCACAGCACCTGTTTTAAAGTGCATTTGGAAAATTTGCATCTGAACAAAGGTATTCGGATTGGCATCAATTACACAAATGAGGAGCCAAATAAAAAAATATACAGTAGTAGCCATTCAAAATTTCCCCACTTTCCTTGATGCGCCCTTGGCTGATCTCCTACAATTCCTTTTTAAAAACCAAACTTTGTACTAAAATTTTCTTTCTGTCATGATTTTCGGACATTAAGATCTAAAGAGAAGTGCAATCTCCTGGTTAGACTCTGTAATTCAGTGAAAGGGTGGGGTCAGAGTGAAAACAATATAAACGTCCAGGAGAAGGCCAGTGGCTGGAAGTTGGATGTAATTTCTCTGGGAATTGCAGGGGAGGCTGCCGCCATTGGGTTGGTGTTTGACTGTGAAGGGCCATTTTGAATAGGTGCTACTCTATGATAACAGGTGAAAAGTCTCAACATAGATAAGCACTTCATAAAAACATAAAACAAGACTAAATTCTCTTGGGTCCAACATTCAGTGCATTGTTGCTTTCAAACTGAGCACATAGCAACAGCTCATTCAGACAATTATCAAACACGGGGTTGAAGGAGTGATTATTGATTCTTGCAGTCATTTAGCTGTCCTTTAACCTCTTTACATGAGAGATCATTTATATAATATTTAAAGCTCTTCAAGAAGAGATTCAACAAGATGGGATTTCTTTATAAAAGGTTTTCTGCACTACTTCTCTGAGATTGATTCTTGTGTTTAGTGTAAATAAAAGTGAGTTGTTGTTGTGGTGAGAAAAACCAGACCAGTCCCTCTCAGTCTGTTCATTGTGCAGGTGTTAGTGTCTGATGTCTTTCATTTGCATTCTAATTTCAATAGTTTTTATTTCCACAGGGAGAAAATCATTTCCCTGGAAGTCTATCCTGTGTGGATTTCTGTGTGTCCTTCTTGTTCTCGCAGTTCTCGCCATCTTGCTCTGGTACTTCTGTACGTTCTTTGAAAGAACACTCTATCAGGCTTTTTGACTTTAATATGTTACTGTTGTAATAAATTTCCTGTTTGTTTGCAGTATATTACCAGTGTCCATTTGGGAAGTCATGCAGTCCTGGTGGCGTGTGTCTGAGCACCACCCAGTGGTGTGATGGTGTAAAGGATTGTCCTGATGGAGAGGATGAATCTCACTGCTGTGAGATATTCATGTCAACACCTTCCCTGTTCCTCTCTAAGATATGTTGTCATGGTTAAGTGTGTTGACCTGCTGTTGTTGTTTTCTCTTTATTTGCACAGTTCGCCAACGTGACACCGATTTCTTGCTGGAAAGTTATTCATCAAACCATGATGCCTGGTTGCCTGTGTGTGCTGAGAACTGGGATGTCAGCTATGGCAAAACTGTGTGTGAGCAGATTGGCTACAGCAGGTAAAAAAAATACTTTTGGCTAATTTAAAAGGTTTATAAACTCCCTACATTTCAATACTGGTTTCATCAACAGAGACGCTCTTCCATTCGGTGGTCAGTTTAACTGGACAGCCAGAGCCCCTGTTTAAATTACACATAAGTGAATATATACTGTTTTGGTCATTCTATTGGTACTTTTCTGGCCCTGAACTTTACTTAAAGGGTTTAGAAAAATGGCTGAACATGTGCTCTTTTTTTAAGATTTTCTTTTTTTAAAGATAATTTCCTTTTTCACTAAATATTTATCCACATTTTTATTGCAGTGTTTTACATAAAAACAATTATGTTTGTGGTTAGAAAAAGATAAGAATGTAAAAGGAATCTGAATACATTTTATTAGTTATTATAAAGAGAAAAACGTTCTGATTAATTTACTATACTAGAAATCAAAGAGTTTCCTCCAGATATTTCCTTTTCCTCAGTGTGGAATCAAACCAAATGGTAATTGCAGCTCATATCTGACCATTATGTAAAGGTTGGTTCCCAGGCGATAAAATCTTTTTCTTAATTATTAACTATTGCCAATGATCATCCACCATTGATTCCTCCACCCGTTTACAGACTCTGGATGTCGATCATAACCGAGTCAGGAGAGTTTAGATGAGGGAACTGGGAGGGTCGATAAATACAGTGTGGCCTCCAGTTTGTTTGTTGTTTTTCTTTCTGTGTGACATAAATTCTCTCTCTGCATACCTCTGTTACACAAGCCAAACACAACTTATGGAGACTAAAATACATCAGAGTTGTTCAGAGATCCAACCTCAGCTTCTCAGTGTAGAGCTGAGAGAAAAAGACAGGCTCCAGTTTTTATAGTGATCATGCTGTGGGATATTGGAAGTGAAAAAGTGCAGGAAAGATTTGGTATTCTGTTGTGGGCTTCGTCTCCAAGGGAGACTGTTCGTTCATATCTGCATAATAATCCAGTTACAAATAACCTTTCACACTGAAATGTGATTTTTTTTCTTGCTGTGTTATCAGTGAACTACTGATTTCTGAGGACAAATTCTGGTATAGAGAACCTAAGAAAACTGTGGATTTTGGTGGTTAACTCTGCAAACTGTGTTGATTCTTCACTATCACTTATTTTGTACAAATTCAAACAAAAACACTGTATTTTCCTCAAGTTTATGCAAAGTGATTCCTGTATAATATGGCCTCACCACTTCCTGTCTCTGTGAATCTTACAGGACAGATTTTAAGAGCTCCAGTCAAATCAGCACGAGCATTAATGCCCCCGACGGATACCTGAAGCTAAAGCCTGGAAGCAGCAGTGTGTCACCAGTACATTCACAACTCCTACACAGGTACAACTACTTCCTGATTTTATTCAGGATTTATTCAGAGTGAACTCATTAAATAGTCCTATCCCTCCTTACCTTGCAGCCCAGGTTGCTCGGCCCAAGCTGTCAAACTGCAATGCATTGGTGAGCTTCTAACTGCAACAGTACAAAATAAGATGTTAGTGCATGACTCAGCAAATCATCAGGGATCTTTTCTGTTTAGAATAAAGCTACATATTCAATTACAACTTTTGTCTCTCTGTGACTTGACGTGCAGAATGTGGCACGCGTTCAGCAGCTTCCAGCAGTCGCATCGTAGGCGGCAAGGAGGCTGCGATGGGCGACTGGCCGTGGCAGGTCAGCCTCCAGAGGGGAAATAGACACGCTTGTGGAGGCTCCATCATTAGCCCAAACTGGGTCCTGTCTGCAGCGCACTGCTTCCATCCGTGAGATTCTAGCTAACATTGTTTTTATCTAATGCAACTGGTGGATTGATTTTAGCATCTTTGCAAACAGACACTGTATGCAGTCAGTATGTGAATAAACTAACCTGAAAGGAGACAACGGTTTTTGCAGAATAACACAGAAACTTTTGTGAAGAATGACATCACTGCAAAAGTTGTCTAGCTAACCCAGTGTTACAGTCTTAGATTTAGACATAAAGTACACTGGTCAAAAAAATTAAAGGAACACTTTGTAATCAGAGTATAGCATCAAGTTAATCAAACTTCTGGGATATTGATTTGGCCAGGTGAATAGCAGAGGGGATTGTTAATCAGTTTCAGCAACTTTGGTGTTAATGAAATTAACAACAGGTGCACTAAAGGGGCAACAACGAGACAAGATCAAAACAGGAATGGATTTACAGGTGGAGGCCACTGACATTTTTTCCCCTCCTCATCTTTTCTGACTCTTTTTCACCAGTTTTGCCTTTGGCTTGGGTCACTGTCACTACTGTTAGCATGAGGTGCTATCTTGACCCTACAGAGGTTGCACAGGCAGTCCAACTCCTCCAGGATGGCACATCAATATGTGCCACTGCCAGCAGGTTTGCTGTGTCTCCCAGCACAATCTCAAGATCAGGGAGGAGATTCCAGGAGACAGGCAGTTACTCCAGGAGAGCTGGACAGGGCTGTAGCAGGTCTACAACCCATCAGCAGGACCGGTATCTGCTCCTTTGTACAAGGAGGAGCAGGAGGAGCACTGCCAGAGCCCTACAAAATGACCTCCAGCAGGCCACTGGTGTGAATGTCTCTGACCAAACAATTAGAAACAGACTTCACGAGGGTGGCCTGAGGGCCCGACGTCCTCTAGTGGGCCCTGTGCTCACTGCCCGGCACCATGGAGCTGGACTGGCATTTGCCACAGAACACCGCAATTGGCAAGTCTGCCACTGGCGCCCTGTGCTTTTCACAGATGAGAGCAGGTTCACCCTGAGCACATGTGACAGACATGAAAGGGTCTGGAGAAGCCGTGGAGAACGTTATGCTGCCTGTAACATCGTTGACCGCTTTGGTGGTGGGTCAGGGATTGTCTGGGGAGGCATATCCATGGAGGGACGCACAGATCTATACAGGCTAGACAACGGCACCCTGACTGCCATTAGGTATCAGGATGAAATCCTTGCACCCATTGTCAGACCCTATGCTGGTGCAGTGGGTCCTGGGTTCCTCCTGGTGTACAGCAATGCTCGGCCTCATGTGGCGAGAGTATGTAGGCAGTTCCTGGAGGATGAAGGAATTGATGCCATTGATTGGCCCCCACGCTCGCCTGACCTAAATCCAATAGAACACCTCTGGGACATTATGTTTCATTCTATCCAACGCCGCCAGGTTGCACCTCACACTGTCCAGGAGCTCAGTGATGCCCTGGACCAGATCTGGGAGGAGATGCCCAAGGACGTCATCCGTCGTCTCATTAGGAGCCTGACGTTGTCAGGTATGCATACACGCATGTGGGGGCCATACAAATTACCGAATACCATTTTGCGTTGCTGCAATGAAATTTCAGCAAAATGGACTAGCCTGCCGCATCATTTTTTCACTTCAATCTTTGGGGTGCCTTTGAATTCAGCCCTCTGTAGGTAGATATTTTTTTCATTTCCATCAAATGATGTGGCATCCTTTTGTTCCTAACACAACACCCAGTCCATGTTAGTATAAATGAACAGCATTATTTTTCCCCCATTGAGATCTGATGTGTTTTCAAAGTGTTCCTTTAATTTTTTTTTAAGCAGTGTATTTTTTATCTGCTTTTGAGATTGACACACTAAACCAGAGCAGATTCTTTTAGATAATTAATCTGCCTCTGAGAAGATTCTTCTCAAATAAGTGCACTAATCTGACAATTACAGTAATAAGATTTCATGATAAATATTCTCAAAACAAGAAGTAGAAGTAAAGATTTGGTAATTAGAACATTGATGTATTGCTTAGCAGTATAAATATGACTGAACTTTTCCAATCACTGCCTGCCTTATGGGATGAAAATGAAAACTAAAGATTTTAATCACAACTAGAAAGATATCATTTAAATGTGTTTTCTTTCACAGTAACACAGACCCTACAGTGTGGAGGGTAGCCTATGGGCATGTGAAGCTGTCCGAGATGGTCTTCAGGAGCTTAGTTCAGAAAATCATTAATCATAAGTATTATGACCCTGAAACGAATGCCTTCGATGTTGCTTTGCTGAAGCTCCAAGATCCTATAACTTTTACATGTAAGTGTTTCTTTTTAATTTCTGGTATTACTCACAGAATATCTTTGGGGACAAACATCAATTCAGATTTATGATGTGTCTTTATATACCAGCAACAGTTAGGCCGGTGTGCCTCCCCAATGTTGGTCTGAATGTTAATGAGGACAGCAACGCCTGGATCACTGGTTGGGGGGCTTTGTACTCTGGTGAGTTACCTGAACATGGCTGCCGTTCTTTCATTTTATTCTGTGTTCAGGTTTATTCTTCCACATTTATAAAACATTGAATCCATATGAACCAGAGTTTGGCTTCCAGTGCAAGAAGCGTTTTTGTCATATTCCATTCAGTTTGTCACAGATTTTTTATTCATTTTTCTCTCAGGGTCATCAGTTACTCCTAATAGCTTAAACGAGGCCCAGGTCACTGTTTACGACAGAGACACCTGTAATGCTGGTAGCGTGCTGGATGGGAAGGTCACTGAGACCATGTTCTGCGCCGGCAAACTGGAAGGAGGCGTCGACAGCTGCCAGGTCAGCAGGAATTCATGCTATGATAGATTTTTTTTTACTCCCTTCTAGTACTAAAGCCTCTGGAAAAAGAACGTCTAACACTGACCATCTACTAATGGGTATTATGGTCACAGATTTTTCACCAATAATAGGAAAATTGTTCCTCATATGGTCCATTTTTATTTTTGCTTCTATGCTCAAGTTATTGAATCAACAATTAATAAAAAAAATTTGCAGGTTAAAAATGGAAAGTTTTAGATTTTCTTTTTGTTAAATGTTTATAAATTTTATAAATGGCTAATTTTACTAATCTTACTCTCTTTGTGTCCAACTTTTACACAATTATATTTCATATAAATGTCCGTGGCCCCCCCATCAAAAGGCCTTGCCCCCCTTTTCCCTCATCATTACAAATGTGTAGCTATCCCATGAAGATTTGTCCATTAAAATGAGGCGATCGCCTGCCAGTTTGAGAGTGGATATAAAAAATGATTATTAATAATACTATATACTTATAGTGCGCCTGTTATCCCCTCTCACAGTTCTAAGAATGAAACTAAAACAAAAAATAAAACCTGCTTTCTCCAAGAGGGGGATCGATTGAGAAAGAAACCATCAAGACCTGATTTCTATGCTGACATTTAAACAACATACATGCAAATAAATAGAACAAAAAACAGTAAAGACTTTTATCAAAGCATTCAGTCATCTTTGCAGATTTACTACAGTAGCAGGCTTTCAAAATGGCCCTTTCAAGTCAAACGAGACTTCCCTCCAACTTCCAGCGAAATCCCCTCTAACTTCCAGCCACTGGAGGGACCCCTTCCTCCTCCTGGGTGTGCATTTTTTTTTTTACTCTCCACCCTTTCACTGAATTACAGGATCTGACCAGGAGAAGGTGCTTCTCTTTAGATCCTAATGTCAACAAATCATGACAGAAAGAATATTTTAGTACAAAGATTGATGTTTAAAAATGAATTGTAGGAAACCAGCCAAGGGCCCAAAAACCAAAGTGGGGAAATTTTGAATGGCTACTACTGTAACAAGTCAAAAAAATATTCTTATTCAAAGATATTCATCATATCCTGAAGATCATGATGTCAATACAGGTTTTTATAAATATTCGCCGTTCGTCTGTAAGTCAAATGCTACTTATCCAGGGTTTGGGGACCGTTTCTGCCTCACACGTACCACATATTTGGCCCCACAGTTCAGCTGAAAGAATAGAACTTTATTAATCAATAATCCGTTTTTTGAAGTAGATTTTTACTATTTTATGGTTTTATGTTCTTTATTCTTTAACGCGGGTCACTGTATGAATTTAATATTGAATTGTGTTTTAGTTTCTCCATGTTCCTTTTGAAAAAAAAAAGATTTTAAATATCAATACATTTTTATCTGAAAAAAAATAGTTTTATGTTAAGTAAATATGCAGAGGCTGCCTTTTAATATTTTTCCTGACTTAAGAAATGCAGTTTATGGTGTTAAGAACTCAGGATGGCTGCAAACACTCCTGAAAGCATTCTTTGCTTTTTTGAAACCATAATATCACATGTTATTTGAATTTCTTACACAACATCCTTAGATCTTTCTATCCTGTCTCCTGCAGGGCGACAGTGGAGGACCCCTGGTAGTTAACAAAGGAAATATATGGTGGCTCATAGGGGACACCAGCTGGGGTTATGGATGCGCTATGAGGAACAAACCAGGAGTATATGGCGATGTAACCTACTTTACGGAATGGATATATAAACAGATGCAGGTACAGCGATGTACAGTCATAGCTCTTTAGCTTACCTGATGTTTTTTCTAATCGGATGTTTCAATTTATCTCAGATGCAGTTTGCATGTCAGTAGTTTGTTTTCCTTCATATGAGCCTTTTAGTTGTTTTATTTATAAAGGGCTTCTGATAAGTTAAACTTGTTTTTTGTAACTTGTTTTAATTTTATGTTAACATAGACACGGACATGTACATCTCATCCTGCATTTCTGCTTTAATCTTCGCAGAATCAGTGAAAAAGACGAGGCTGAAGACCGTTTGGACCAATGCACTTTTAAATGAAAACTTGGAGAAAATCTACTGATCAATGAAAACTTTTACTAAATGAATGATAGAAATAATTCTTAAAGTTTAAGGGGTTTTTTTTGTACATAAACATTTTATGTTTGTATTTCAAATGATTTTGCCTATTTATTTATTTTATTTTTTGTGATGACTTGAAAACAAAAATGCAAATCTGAGAGGCAAATATAACATTATTTGGTCAAATTATATTCTACTAAATTATGAGCATATGAGGAAAACACATAAATGAAATGAAATAAATGTTGGTTTAGCTTTATAAACGACAGCTCAAAACATGTTGGCATGGGGAATGATGGAATCCCCATTAGCATTTTGTTAGCTTGGCTTACAAAACAGTAAACACATGACATCAAAAATTATTGAAACCCCAACTTTTTAGCTGGAAACCCTCCCTAAATTTGACAGACCTGTAACCTCCTTTTATCTACAGTTTTCAGTAGTCTATCATATCAAGCCCACAGCAGAGAAGCTGCCCTTTCCTTACAGACGTGCCATTCCTAAATTCTCTGGCATCTTAAAGTTCCCAATAATTGCAGGGAGAAATGTTGAATGGTCTGGTTTTGCAGTAATCTGTTTCAGAAATTAACCATCCACTAAGCCTTTGATCTTACTGCAGATTCAGACTCTTTGGCCCTGTGGCCTTCCATACTGGTGTCTCCCTGGTGCGAACCTCAGGGGAGTTTCACAGCTAAGAGATTGAGAGTACATGAGGTAAGGCTCAGTGGCGTAACCCGGACGGATAGTTGGAAAAGAAAAAGAAATCTTGCCACCCCTGTTGCCATGCCGCTGAAAACATTAACACTGTTTTAAATTTAAAAACATTTGCGAAGACAACAGTCAAATTTCTTGAATGCATCCTCATGCAGCACCTTCTGCTACACTTTTAATTGGTTATGCTGACATGCAATTCCTTTCCAAACGGCTCCAAAAAGCAACACGGCCGCGGCACATGGGAACAATAAAAAGCATTTACTTTGCTGCTAGTATGTACGTTTCTTGGTACAAAATTAAACAATATGCTCTTTTAATGGGAAGTAAGGGAGACTTTGCACCACCGTGCCTGTACTTAGTATTACCTATGAGTATTACTACTTTAATTACTAGTCTCATGAAATGGACAAATACGTCACACTGGCTTCATACTGGCTAAAAAGAACATGTTGGCAATGTGATCAGCAACATTCACAGAAATTAGGTAGAATTATTAATATTGGTATGTGTAATGCAGCATATTGGTACATTACAAAGAGGTTTTCCATTAACTTTATAGGCTGAGTAAAATTTGGCTTCTGATTCCAGTAAGCACTGCATCCTGCAAAACAAGTTTCTCTGCCCTTAAATAAAGAATAAAAAAAACACCTTAGGAATACAATGGCCGATGATAGATGAATTCACCTGGGCATACTCAGTGTTGAGTCAAGGAGGGCTTATTCCCTTTAAATATGGAAGTCTTTGTAAAACATTTTGCTTCATCTCACCAAAACCACAGAATTTTGCTGTTCTGATTGTTTTTGTGAACTTGGTTGTTGTCATATCACTGGGTAGTGGTCAGATATAGTGCATTTTAAAGGGCTGTCCATTTGACAGGTACAAATTTACCTCAAATTTTTGTTTACTACTGGATTTGATTAGTCCAAGGAGCACATCAAGTACTTATTTATTTCTATATTTGCTGTATACTTAATTTTTAATACATTGTACAGTACATAATTGTATACATTTTGAATAATAAGCAACTTTAATCAATAAACATTTTGGAGAAAATGATTATTGTTTGTGGTATAGCTGAACCCTTTATATAATGACCACCCTAAATAATACCTTGCTACCCCTGTTTTAAAAGCCTAGCTCTGCCACTGATGTGCTTGGGGCCTTACTGAGGGCCTTGGTCTTTATCCCCAAGCACAATGGGAGGCGGGATCACATGACCCTATATACAACACAAAATCCTTTACAGAGTACACTATACAAGTCAAAGATAATTCAAGATGTGTTTTGCACAAACTAATGTCTGTCCACAGGGCAGAGGCAACAATCCTGACAATTAAATTAATCCATTATGGTAATGTACACCTGATCAGAAGTTCTGGGTTCAGATATGTAAGGACTTGTCGGAGAGCCCTAGTTGTATAATACCACCGTCCCCATCAGTTTGTTTGCTTGGTAACTTTGATGATAGCTCTTTGGGGGGAAAATATGGTTTACATGGTCTTCACTGCCCTATGCATTACAAAGAAAATTATCCTCATGAATTGGAAGAGCAACAAAAATAAACAATAAGTATAGAGATCTTTTGCTGGAACACATTACTCTTGAGGCAGCAAGAGTAACTCTGGGGGGGGTTGGGAGGATTGATTGTGTAGGCCTCACCCCTGATGGCTCCCTCTATCCCCACTCAAATGGGGGTGAACATAATCCATGTAAAATAAAATCAACATAATATAAGGCTTAATTTAAACAGCTTGGCCTTTTTTCAGTGTAGTCCTGTTTCTCTGCCTGTGACTGACTGGATGTGCTCTCTTCATCTACTGACATGGGAGCTGGCTCGTAGCCTGTCTGCCTGGCTGTGTGTTTCCTGGACGGGGCCGCCTGTGGAGCTGGTTGACAGTTGCCTTTTGTATCTTTCTTCTTTCTGTATGTCTGCTTATGTCTCTTTGAAGCCCAGTCGGCCTCAGCAGATGGCTGCTCACACTGAGCCTGGTTCTACTGAAGGTTTCTTCCTGTTAAAAGGGAGATTTTCCTCTCCATATTCACTATAAGCATGCTTGGTGTGAGTGTGTGCCAACCTGTGCTACACAAAGAAGTTGGGGAAAAAAAGGCAACAGACTCCAATTTATTTGTGTGTGAAAAAATCTAAATTGATACGATATGAAGGGTTTTCAAATGGAAAATGGCCTGTACTATTATGGCGCTTTTTCAAGTCAGAAGACTTGGCCAAAGCGCTTTACTCTTTACTCCGCTTTACTCCACATTCCAACACACACTCACACTCCACTGTCGCCAATGTACAACAATTAGAAGGGAAAAGTAAACTTACCATTCATGTCTTTTGACATTAATGAAAGAAAAAGACCTTCTGTGCCTCAGCGTGTAGCATGAAAATTATCCTTTGACTGGATTTTTGCAGAAAAAAATTTAATTCCTGTCTATCGTTATTATTATAATCTGTTAGAAATATTATGCTTTGTCTGATGGGGAGGCAAATTAATGATTAATAACTATTAATAAATGATAATAATCAAAGGGGAAAAAACTAGAAAATGGCTACTACTACAAGAACAATATGAAAACTAAAAGGAAAAAAGCTTAAATGTGGCAAAGCACCTCATTTTATATATACGGTTAAAATAGTTAAATTTGTTGGAATTTTTCTTCATTTTTGAAAGGACTTTGGACTACATCACTTAGCCTACTTCAAACTAACATGTCTGAACAAATTGGCTGTGTTCTAACAATGGCTTTTTAATGGGAAGATTTTTTTTTTATTATTTCAAATCCAAATGTATGGAATTATATTTTCATCGATCAGACACCTCACACATATGTACAGCAGGGGGCGGTAATCGCCTGTTGTTTAAGCTTGAAAAGTCCATTTTAGCCAACTAGATGTGAAGTTTTCTAAAAGAAGTTTCTTAACTCATCTAAGAGTTTTCTTCAGTTCTAAGCACTGAGATTAATATACTGTAGATGGAACATATTAATGGGGAAAAGGTGGCTCTGGTCCCTCCACTGGATTGGCCATGGAGGTGACCTGGGGGGTTAATGGTGATTAGGATGGGTCATTAACTTCCTCATGAGAGCAGTTTTGGTCACATACTTCATTGAAGTGTGAGTCAGGTGAGGGTGAATGAGAGGTGAATCTTCTGGGTATTGTTCCTAAAAGCGCTTCCCACGTAGGTCATAGGTTATGTTAAAGACCACCTCCTCTGCTAAGAGATGTTTTTTCCAGGTTAACAAAGATGGCTTCCTTAGCCCCTCAATCCATGGCTCTGTTTGAATATATGGGCTGCGTCTTCCAAGGAAGCGGTCTACCTGGACTGGATCCTTCGAAGTCCGTGAAAACAAGGAGACCGGAAGAGCTTTGGCTTTGAATTTAAACAGGTCTAGCCTTCGCCGGCTTTTATCGTCGTACGCTCTGTCACTATGCAGCCGTGACACACAAAGCAGGAAGAGAATGAATCTCAAACTTTTCAAAACAGCTTCATTTTAATTTTATTTATTTATTTTTTATTGTAAAGTGAACAAAGACTACACTCATGAGAATCCAAAGTGGAATAAAGGTGCCAACCACCGGGAGCATGAACAAATAAAAGCCAATGTCATGATAGAAACCTTAGTCAGTTAAATAACATGCTGCTGTAATTTTGCACATCTCTGATGTTGCTGCTATTTTCACATATCCATTACTGTAAAAATGTCCATAGCTGTATATTGGTTATTTATTCTCCAGGTGCACAGTTTTAATATTGTTAAAACACTTTACAGTACAGTATTTTATTATTTATCTTTCAACTCTTAAATATTATGTTATTCTTATAAATTTTTCAAGGTCCAAATTTGTATGACCATTTTTCCTAATTTTTTTTTTTTTTTGCTACCGGTACTTTAAACACTAGAATTTCCCGATTGTGGGACGTTGAAGAGATTTTCTATTCTGTTATATTCTATAAAAGGGGTAGAAAGATATACCGTAAGTAAATCTAAACAATGTATGTATAAAAAATATATCTGCAAAATCTCTTATATTCAACAACAAAAAATGCATAGCAATATATCCAGGGAAGGATGTAATAGCAATAAAAAAAAATAAAAATCCTGTCAGATTTATAGTCCCTACCCTGCAGATATATTAGAATCTGTCCTTAAATTACAGCCAAACCCATTTACACAGTAACGGATAAAGCCCTTTAGATTTACCCTTTAGATTAATTTTTCATAACTGCAAAGATGTATTGTCAATAAAACCAGATTAGGATATTCAGCAACCATGTAGGACCTTTGATGAAACAGGCATGTGCAAGTTTCCTACTGGCATGCAGCCTTTTCTGGCATATGCCACTTGTCAACTGGTATATACCAATGTTTTAAAGGGGCATGCCAGTAATTTTGGCTCTCGCTGTCACTTTCATTTTCAGCAACCACCGTGCATATGACTTGGGCTTAATCTGTTAAATTGGTGATGTTAATGTCACACATCTTTCTAAGTTGTCCTAGGTCACAAACTCTTGGTGTTCCTCTTGTTCTCCTCTGCATTTTGATGGTGGAAAGCTTTCACCTATTCAACCAGCTCCAGAATACCTTTCTACTGCAGCCTTGTAGCAAAAAGCATTTATCAACCTCCTCCGCCGTAGTGTCTTCTTTGGTTCTATGCTGTTACAGTTTGACTCTATTAATCATACTTTTTTATATTAGTGTAACCAGAGTTAAAGAAATCAAAGAAACGCCAAAAATACTCAACCATCAAAAAGGAAGACATTTATTCAGCATGTAGTATGGATGAGTAGAGGGGGAATCTGTTTCACTTACAAAAGTAATTTGCTAAGTAATTGTGTAAAGTATTCTTACAGATATCATGAATCAAAAATCAAAACCATGTAAGTGTGCACACACCTGGCAAATAAAGCTGGTTCTTAATCTAACCTTTGTGAATTGACTTTTTTTCGTTAATGAGATTAGGGTGGCTCCTATCCAATGTAATGTCTCCTGCATATTCTTCTCAGGCTTCGGTTGAGGACCCAAATGCAGAGGCTGAGAGGTAGGGGTGAGTTCTGGCAGTTTTTTTTTTATGAATTAACACAGATAACAGAGGCAGGAATCCAAAAATCCAACATGAAAATGTA